GTGGGCTGGATTCTGAGAATACGTTTTACAACTTTATTGGTATCTACATGCATGAACGCAAGACAGCGATGATAAGAAAAAGGAGGTGTGAGTGGTCCACGTGTAAAACGCGCAGCCCCAAGTTTTAAACCAGCCTCGTTTTCACTTTAATGTCTGGCTGATGACGCATGAACCATGTGTGAGACGTGTATTTACAGCTAAATTAGAGTATGTGAATAAAGTGTGTCTGTGTGACTCTCTGGGTGAAACTGAGAGAGTGCCAGTGGGTTTGTGGGGTGATGCGACCGGAAATCTGCTGCATGAAACTGATGAAAAATCCACTTTCTTTATGAGACAGAAAAAGAGAAAGCAGGAAGGAGGTATTTGTGGCTCTGAGAGACAAAGTGAGGGAGATCAACCTGCGGCTTTTCCTTCCTGCTCATCTTTAAACTAAAAAATAACACAAATGAAGGTTTGTGGTGTGATGGTGATGCATATTTGTACGTCCTAAATTTCTGGTCGAGGCATTCGTTGGAAATTCAAAAGAAGCTGTGAAAACCTCCACGTCTGAAGACTTTGAAGAAACACCCACCAGCGTGTGAACACTATGCTCATTCCTTTCTGATGAACAGCCCACTGAGAACGACAAGCTGAGCCTGCTGTTCACGTGTTTTTTTCTCATTCGGCTTCCTGTACGTTAAGACCGAGTCTGACAACAGGAAGTTGCAGCGACCTGAACCAAACCTCAAACAGCGAGGTGTTTGAGTTTTCAGTACCACGAAGATCGACTCAGACGCTCGCCTGGAGTCTCTGAGGCTGCTGAGAGACGAGGAAAAAGCCATCTCAGAGTTTGAGGCTGTTTCTGTTCCACCTTTAGGAAGAAGTCAGCCAGTTTTCAGACGAGGGATTCAGTCGACCGGATCTCGATTCATGAGTCTTCGTTCCTCGTTTGGTAAGAATGAAAAGTCTGTAACAGGCAAACTTGTAGAAATCCTTCTGCAATCGAAAACGGGCGATTTAAGACAAAAATTATGGGGGGTTGGAACCAAACTGGGCCTATAGTGTATTTAATATCACTGCTGAGAATAAGTGTGAACTTTGACTACAAAAAATGAGAAATTAAAGATATCACCACCACATTTACCTTTAAATCTCTTTATTTAGAAGCAAAACAACTGAATTATTTGTGTGCTATTCTCAGTCTCGTGTTCTCCTCTTATGGACCGAAACCACACAATCGTTGGCTTTTTCTTCATTTTCATATTTCTCTATTTTTCCTTTAACTGAGCTCCTTTTTAGTGTAATTTCTTACCTTTCTGAGATTTGATTTTAACCTTTTGTTGCTCTCACACAACAATTTTCTCGATTTCTTCTTGTTATTTAATAAGAAATCGTCTCAAAGTGCAGCAGTACAACAGAGCATCTTTATAAATGTCAGACTCAGGAAACCATCTGAGTTTTTTTTTCCATTTCCTGTTCAGTTTCCTGTTTGCAGCACATCACTTCTCTTTAAGCTTCATCTCTGCAGCCAAAGCTGATCAACAGGAGGCTCTGAGACTCAGTGAATATGAGAAAATGACTCACTGCCTGTGTAACATGCTCAAACCTCTGATTCATTCAGAGAAGGGGGGGGGGTCGGCTGATCTTTTGGCTGCTCCTTATTTTTGTCACAGCAGTTTCAGCCCATTCGACAAGCTGAAATAAGAAGCTTTGCAGACAGTCAGGAATGCGTGTGACAGCGAGCAGCGACATTTCTGGGACTTTGGGGCTCGTGTAAAAGCAGAGGATCTGCTGCTCTCTCTTATTTGGCTCCCTGAGTTTCAATGCTGATGCAGTCTGCTGGTCTTCGGCGGCTTCTTAAAAAGCTGCCCGTGGATCAGGATGCTGACTGTGAAGGTTTTTATCATTTTTGCTGCCATTTTTAGTTTTGCCAAAATTTTGAAACAGCCTGTTTACACATGAAAACTAACAAAAATGAAAACTACCAGATCAGATTTTTAAAGATCCTTGAAATATCTAGTTCTGAAGTCTTGTTGAAGTTTGTAGGGATTCTCTGGGCAGTAAATATTAAACCCATTATCAGGCTTCATAATCGGGGCCTCTGACTTCCTGACTTATTTTCATGAACTGAACACCATCTGACTTCCTCACAGATCACCCTGAGTATGTATGAAAAAAGTCAGCAAAGGTAGGTTTTCTGACTGTTAGAGGTAGAATGTAGCTTATTTACTCTACTACTAAAGTACACCTTTAATGTACTTGTACTTCGATCAAAGTACTTCTATGTTCTGCTGCTTTCTAAACATTGGGTGGGTGTACTCCAAAACATTAATTTTAAAGCTTTTCGCACTTCTTATTTTGCAGATTTTCAAATAAAAATCCAAATAAAGCAGTGTAGAGGTCAGTAACTTATGCCAAGCATAAATCATGTTTGTTTTCTTTTACGGTGTTTTCTGGTGTGATACTATGATCCTGATAACACATTGTTTAAATAAAATACTCTGTTCTAATCTTATTATCAAAATCCAGTCACGTGACCTCATCTCTCGTTAGCCTTAAAGTAGTTGGCACATGGGTACATGCTAATGTGAAGAAAGTGAGATAAAAACATTGTGTGATTGCATGTTTATTACATATTACTGGACACGGGTTTTACTGAGATAATTCAGGCTTTTTCTTCTTAAAATCAGCCGTTGAAAAAAAAATTTTTCTCCGGACTTCCTCCATCGCTGCACACTCAAACAGAGACGGAAACTAACTAACTAAGACTTTAACATGTCTGACTGATCATCAGGTAATAGGCAAATATCAAAAAAAGTTTCTCTCAGTGAGAGTGTGAGCTTAAAGATGTGGCTGTAGAGTCTTTCCTGTCGTCTGCTCTTACTCACCCACACTTTAGTGTCGAGATCTTTGCGTTAGACATGAGTTGGTGGAACAGATTAGGCTTTCGTTTGCTCTTCCCCCCCACTCTCTCACCCCCTCTGTGGGCAATCTGTCACCAGGGGTAATCCTAAAGTTTGGGCGGCCCCATCAATAAGCTGCCTTCACTCCTCCTGGCCATAACCAGTGCTAAAAAACTGACTCTGACTTAGATTTTAGTAAATATTAATTTACTGTTACAAAACATAACTGCTATCTGTTCATTATTAATCTCATATTTTTATATTATTTAAGTAATTAATTTATAAGATTAAACTTTAAAAAAAGAACAATACAAATGTAAAATATGTATAAATCGAGGTATCAGATATTGCTATTTTGTCAAAGCTCAGGCATCCTCACTTGAAACTGGAACCAGAAACAACAATCTTTTCTTTACTTGCAGATCTTTTCTGCAAGTGAAGAAATCCGACTAGTTTCTTATTTTACTTTGTTCCATGATCGCCAAAACTTGGAAGAATTTATTTTACAAGATACTGCACAAAAACTAAAAAAAAAGAATCCACTTCATCAGATGTCACTGAGTAGTTCATTCTAAAAATAAACTCTCGTCTTCCACTCTTGTCCTGTCCTTCTTACATCTTTCTAGATCTCCCACATTGATGAGTTTTTCCTCTGTCTCTCTCTGGGATGGTAACTGTGCATTAGGTAGCAGACAAACTATAAAACGTTGCTCAAAAACGGTACTGCTTTACTTACATCTGCACCGTGAAAAAGTCACAGGCGAGTCACAGGTGGAGAGAAACTATTCTTCTTTCTTTTTTCTTTTTCTTTTTTCAATTTTATTTATATAAAATCTGCAACGCCAACAGCACAACAGCAGTTGCCTCAAGGCGCTTTATATATATTCTCCACTCTAATGTCTGATTTCATATGTTTCAGCTCTGACTTCACTAAATATGATAAAGATCTTGATAACCTAAACAAATAAGGCTTCATAAAAGACCAAACAGGACTGCTGATACATTCTGGATGACATTAATGACAATATTATCCCTTTACAAAAATTATAGGGCTGAATCTGGTGGTCTTGTGCAATTACATTTTGTAATGCTTTTAAACAGCAGCAACAACAAACTGGAAATCACCGATACCGCTGAGTAGTTGACCCAGTTTCAAAGCTACGTTTGCTGTAGCTCTCATACAGCCATAAGATCTCAGACTAAATAAAGATCACTTTTAAACCATAACATGATGTCTTTATTACATAATTTTAATTTTAAGACAAATAAACAATTCTGGAGTCGTGTATACATAATAATTGCATAACATTAATAAACATTTTTATGTATTTTTATTTTTGAATTATTTTCATTCTTTTCAGTAGATTACATCAATATTTGATAGTTCCTGTGGTCAGACGGCGATGCAATGTTCACACGTTAAAGGACTTTTATTCCATCTTGTGGCACATGGTGAGCTTATCTTTATTGGCCTGGAGGTTATAGAGTCTAACAATTTTACCACGAAGATAAATGGTATGGTGATTTGTTCAACAGTATATTACTGTACTGTATGTATGTTATGGCTCAAGTTGCAGTTGTACAAATACATATTCATTAAAATGACATTCAAATAACGTCAAAGTGCTTTTCATCTACTGAGCTTTCACTTTTGAACCTCATTTGACCCTTTTCATTGTATGTTTGACATCTCTAATTAATTTCTCATTTTGGCAACAGTACAGTGAATTGTATAATAATGGTTTACAGATGAATCAAGCTGTTCTTTTTAAGCAAGGTGAGGTTAATGTTAAAGATCTGTAGGTCTTTTTGCATGCTAGCCAAATAAGAAGGCCCAGAGGGCCAATACACAGGGACAGACAACCATTCACACCTCGTGGAAATTTGGATTATCCAATTAACCTATCCCCACAAGCTGCATGTCTTTGGATGGTGGGAGGAAGCCGGAGTACCCGGAGGGAACCCACACAGACACGGGGAGAACATGCAAACTCCACACAGAAAGACCCCGGCCTGATGGTGGAACTGAACTCAGGACCTTCTTGCTGTGCGGCAACAGTGCTAACCACCGTGCCACCGTGCTGCCATGACAGCTGGGATAGGCTCCAGCCTTCTTTGAGTATTTTTAGTCAGATGGCAAAAAAAGATGATGTCATCAGCATAAAAATGCACACTGAAGACCTGAAAAATGAACGTAAGAATTGGACTAAGCTACAGGAGTGCAGAAGGGGACTTAAAGTAAATAAAAACTTGAATATTTCAAGTATCAGTTGATTTAGCATACAAGTTTTTCAAAGCACTAGAGGTTCTTTTCCACTGATGACATCAGAGGGCTGCCTCGGCCTCAGGAGGTGTGGTAACTCCCCACGGCATGCTGGGTAAATAGTGTGCCAGCCACTCCCCCCAGCTGCTCCTTGGCTCTTCTTCTGTCTCCGCCCCTCCTCGTTTCACTTCCCACCCGCCCACCACCCAGTCCAGCTCTTCTTTACCGCCCCCCACATCCTGTCTCTCCTCCCTCAGAATCACACTGTAGCGCTTTTTGGACACTCCTTCTCCACCTCTGCTCCTCTCTCTTACTATCCCCCGATATCCTTTTTGACCTCCATCTTCTTCAGACACTCTGCACTCCTCCACCACATCCCTCCATCCCTCTATCTCCTCCTCTTTGCTTAACAGACGGTACAAAGTCTTCTTATATACTGCTCGCTCCTCCTTCCCATTTCTTTCTCCTTCTTCCTCCCTTGTTGCTTCTCCACCTGCAGGTTTTAGAATGACAAGCTGTCCTTGTTTCCTGTCTCCTTCCCCTCCTTCACCTACATCTTCACTTTGCATACCTTCTCCTGCCTCTCTGTGGACCAAAAGAACAGAGCGATAAAGCGCCATTACTCCTTCACCTCCCACTCCCTTCCCTTCCACCCTGTTGTATGTTAACAGCATCAGTCCTTCACTTCCTCCTCTTCTCCTCGCTAACCGCAAACATAGAGGCTTATACACTCTCCTGTACCAGATGACCATACTAGCTAAAGTTGCCAATATACATGCAGCTGATGCCACACAGAGCACCAGGCAGCCCGCAAACAGCCAAATGCAGAACAGCCCTGCAGGCCTGGAAGAAATAGATTTTTCACGTTCCTGTTTTTCATCGGGGCTGGATTTAGTGGTGGTGAGTGCCTCAGAGGCTGTGGTAGCCTCAATGGTGGTGGTTGTGACTATGTTCATTGTTGTTGTTGGCAGTGTTGTAGTTACAGCAATAGTTGTGGTTGTTTCAACAGGTGTTGTTTGAGTTTTAGTCAAATGTCTGGCAGTAGAAGTAGTAGAATGAGTGGTCAAGTCATGAAACCCAACTGTTGTTATCTCTTTGTGTGAATACTCTGACCATTCAATAAGGCTGGTGATAACTTCATACCAGGACCTTGTGATTGTTGTGTGCATTGTGTATAAATCTACAAATGTTGTGGAATCGAGAGGAGAAGAAGTAGAAGGAGCTGTGTCTGGAGGAGAAGTCGATGGATAAAAAGAGTACTGAGTAGTTGGCTGGTAGAAATCTCCTCGTGGACGAGATGCTGAACACAGATCGGATTCTTCCAGACTTGTTACAGGTGTACCTTTGTGCTGCTGGGGAAAGTCACACACCTAAAAAGACAGCGACCATTTAAAAATACTTCAGGTATAGTTTTAATATATATAATCTCCACCATTACCGATGACCCCACCACACTCAAACACATCTTTATATAGAAATGTCCAAACAGAAAAAAACTGTAAGGCCAAAATGTGAGCAGCTTGATTTGAAAGGGAAGTTTCAGAAACTATGTTTAGTAGCCTCTATAACCTAAACCCTAAGTGGTTTACCAGTGACTTGTTGGATGTTAAAAAGTTAAAGCAACTGTGCAGAACCAAAAATGCCCACAGTCTTTGTGTTCTTGTAGATGTGTCTGTATTTGTTTAATTTTTCTGTTTGTAGTACATACCACGCTTTCTACATCAATCTTGATATCAGGACCATCCCGCACATAGACGTTGTGTTCATAGTCATCAAGGTACCTGCGCAAATAACCAAGGGAGCAGGTGCATGACCAGGGATTGGCTGAGAGGTAGAGATAAGGTACCTCCTCCTTTTGGCTGAACCATTCATCGGGCATCATGCTGATCTGTAATGGAACAGAAACTTTAACAATTTTAGAAACAAATAACTGCTGTGCCATGAGTGGCTGCAGCTGAGAGAAGGTTTAAACTTGTATTCACATACTCCTTGGTGTGTATTTCCCACCTTGTTTTTCTCCAGGTAGAGAGTTTCTATGGCTGGGAGGGGGTGAAGCATACTTTGAGGAAGCACCTTGATGTGATTAGATGACAGGTCCAGGATCTAGAGGGAAATAAAGAAAAAAAATGTGACATTGAAGCTACTGAAATACAAAAAAATAAAATCAAAAAATCAGCTGATTGATGCACCTGAACCACAAAAAAATCAACTTGCTCAATTTTCTTCTGTTTATTAATTTACATGAACGCACTTTCTACTGGTTTGAGTCTAAATACACAAAAAGTTTATTTAAAAGAAAATAATCCACACGTGGACACTCACACCAGAGATCAATTTTACACTTTGTACCCCTCTTATATCACGTTTTGCCTTTAGAGTTGCTTTAATTCTTCATGGCATGGATTCAACAAGGTTCTGGAAACATTCCTCAGATATTTTGGTCCAATTAAAAAGAGAGCATCACACAGTTGCTGCAGATTTCTCAGCTGTTTATCCATGAGGTGACTCTCCAGTTCCAATACATCCCAAAGAGTCTCTACTGGCATTACATATGATGACAGTGGGGACCATATGAGTAGAGTGAACTCATTCACATGTTCAAGGAACCAGCTTGAGATGATCTGAGACTTGAGACATGGCATGTTATCCTGCTTGATTTTGCCGATTCTGACCATACAGATCTAAATGGATCAAGTTTCTGCCATGTGATTGGCTGATTCTATAATTGTATTAACAAGCAGTTGAATGTGTGTATTTAACACATTAGCTGGTGAGTGGAAATGAATGACTTCAAGTCCAATCAAGTTTTGGCCATAATGAAAGGGAGCCAAGGACCACTTTGCTACACTCTTACTTCTTGAATCTTGTCAGCTATGTTTCTCACTACCTTCAATTCTCAAGTGTTGATGACATGACACTGACTGTATTTTCTAAACCTCCTTTATGATTTTGCACATACTGACCTCCAGCTTAGTGAGTCCAGAAAAGGTGTGATCACTCAGAGAGTTGATAGCGTTGTTTTCCAGGTAGAGTTCAGTCAGACCTGGGCAGGCAGAGAAGGAGCCGTCAGGGAGGGAGGTCAGACGGTTTGATCCCAGCCTGAGGACACTAAGTGTGGGGAGAATGGGACTAGCAGTCGGGATTACCTCTGGAACCTGGACAACAAAACATCCCTTTGTATTAGAAGCTGACTAACTTCATGTTTTCTAAGATTCATTTACAACCACTGTTGACTTTGTGGCCACTGTACAGGCAGACAGAAACCTTGTTTCCTGTGAGGTCGATCTCATAGATCTCTGGGAAGACCTGGAAGGAGGACCAGGACAGACTGGAGAACAGGTTACTGGGAAACAACAGGATCTAAAGATAGACAGAAAATGTGGAAGCCTTTAGAGCTGTGGTGGTTTCCTGTAAAGTGTCATCTCTTAAACAGGAAATTTGTGTCTCTGCTTTGGTCTCCTCCTGTCAGTCAAACACTTGATCCATTATGGGATTTAAACTTTTTTTTCAACACTTTAAACAAAATTTTCTCATTTTCCTCACTGCATGTGTTAAAATAAAGAGTGTTTAGCTGTGTAAGTGTATGGTAATTGTCTAGCTGCATGGAGAGATTAGCTAAACGTTTTTGATATTGGCTGTCAGTCTTAGCTGCAGTTGTCACAGCGGAAAGTCTGCAAATCCCAGATAATCATTTAGTTCTTGACAAAGATCCAAAATGGTCAGTTTGTCAAAACAAAGATATTAAAAAGTAAAGAGCAAGACAAGAATTTCTTCATAAATATTGTAATTACGAGAAACTAAGTCACATTAAGCAGGCCTTCAATATTTGGGTTTTACATTTTAGTAAATCCTGTGTATTTATTGGGAAAGTAAAATATGCTCACCGAATAAAATACCTACTTATAATGTACTGGTGTAACAAATTACAAAAAATGGATGCCAGGTTCATGGATATGGATAAGGGAACCTAAAATGTGGTATAAGGTGGTTGCTTACTGTGCTGCTTATTACTGTAAATTCTCAGAATGCTGCTGGTTTTTAAAGTCTGTTCAACTTCCTAAATTTTCATTCATGTCCTTTGTCAGTTTTTCTACTTTATCAAATTAATATTAATATTTACAGGTGTATCTTTTCTATTCACTAAATGTTAATTCGTCATCATTAGTATATTACTAGTTTAAGCAGTTGTAAGTAAGACATTTCTCTGCAGAAATTAATTAAACTCCGCTCATTCTGAAATTTCTGTTTTAAAGATAAACTTCAAGCCAATTACAATAAAAAATAATAATAAAAATAAAAAAGCTCCTCGAAGGATTTATGTTTGTCATAATAAACATGTTTATTTATTAGTCACATGTTTTTAACTCATTCATCATCATTCTAATTTGTTTAAATTAAATTTGATGTCTTAAAATGGTTTAATCTAATTACAGAATTAAACTATAAATATAATTTCACACTCACAGTTTTTTTTTTAAATTAAACGGAGTTATTTCCTTCACACTTGACTTCCTGTGGTTTGTGGCATTACCATTGTCGTGGGTTCAAGCCCCACTGGGATGTCGCTGAAGCCGGCTGCTGTGCAGTTCTCCCTGGGCCGGTGGTCCTTGTCCCGGTCACTGCGGCAACCGGCCACTGCTACTCCCATGGAAACACAGGACAGGAGGATGAGAAGGAGGAGGAGGTGCCGCATCTTCACTGAGACTCTCAGAGACTGTCGGTATGTCTCAGTCTTAGAGAAGAGATGGGGAAAGTGAAGGAGGAGATGCCTGGTAGAACAGGAAGTGTGCACTTCCTGTGTACGTGTGTGTGTGTTTTGACTGACAGCTGCTGAAGCAGGAAGTGTGATAACTGTTCAGTTGACAGATTGTGTATGTTTGACTCTCCAGCCTCATGGCATGTGTGTTTCGATTTTTTCATGTCTTCTCGACAGCTTCCTCTTTGAGTGTTTCACATAATGTTTACTTGCATGTTCAAACTTCCTGCTGTTGTGAACCAGAGTCGATAAGGATGTTCTGAAGCATTCTGACAGCAGAGCTGCCAGCACTGATGTGTGGGTTACTGCAGGAAATCTGCTGAGTCAAGCGGTCTCTGTTTCAGTTAAATCCAACTGATGCGGCGTGAAAAAATAAGGCGTGTTACATTTGAAACTTCGCTGAAATAAAGTTGGATCTGCTAAAGTGAATAAACACAGTGTATGGCTGCAATGAACAACGTCTCCTCCATGTAAGCAAAGGAGAAAGTCTTCTTCACATCTATCCCAAAGGCAGTACTGATGTAGCCTCGGAGTAGAGCTGCTCCTCCTGAGTGTCAAATTGTGCCATTTGAGGTTGTCAGGACATTGTGAATACCCAACACTGGACAAGGAAAAGATGATGGCTCAATGGATAGAAGGATACTTTGTGACTGCTATTAACATACTTTAACAAAGACATGTCAACCTGGCAACAAAGAAAATTGAGTTTTTAAAATAGAGGCAACCCAACCTTACCAGTATGCATAACACTACGCTTCATTTATGTGAATCTATGAATAGTTGAAGCTGTAGAAAACTGAAGTGGCCATTCTGCAGTATTAAATAGGTAAAAATGCTGTCAGCATTTATGGCTATGAGGCCTGTGTCTACTAAAAGGTAAATTGACTAATACAGGCCTTATTCACCCATTCACAAACACATTCATACACTCACTTCAGTAGCTGCATCAGGCCCAAATGTAACATAGTTTTGCAGGGAGCTAAAGAACATGAACATTGTTCACCTGGCCTCTTCATCAAGCTTGACCCTGTAACTTTCTAAGCTGGATCTGCATCCATAACGCCAACGTTTCTGGATGGGGTCCACCTCCCTGGTCCATTGAAAGAAAACAGCCAGGATACTGCACGGAGGTGCAGGTGAGGTTGAGGTGATTTGGCCAAGTGGTTCGGTTGCCTCCTGGGCACCTCCAATTGGTGATTTTCCAGACAGGAAAGGAAGAGACCCCAGGGTAAACCGAGGAACCTTTGGTTTCACAACAGAGAACAGAGATTCTCAGGTAGTTTCTGGAGCTACAGGAAAAGCTGGAGTGGTTGATAGAATTGACTTCAATTTAGTTAAAATGAAAAACAGTGTTACACTGAAAAAAAAAATAGAATTTGTGAGTTTGGGACTCAAATTTAAAGCACATGGATTTGACTTCTAACAAAGCAGCCATCAGCCAACATGATAAACACTACTGCAGATTGGAAGATACACCTGAAAAAGCTTGTTTTACAAGAGAATACAAAGATGCATTGATCTAAACTAGTGTTTTGTTTCCAGGTAAAGGTTCCTGCTTCTGACTGGCAGCTGCTGTTCCGTTATCATGTTTTTATATTAGGTTGCATTTTTTTAAAAATTCATATAAATGCATTAAGTGCTACCTGGGAAGAGACCCTGATGTAAATCCAGAATTCAATGGAAAATTTCTATATGCCATCTGGTCTGAAACCCCTCTTGGGAATCCCCTAAGATCGACTGTGTTTAGTCCACTGCCACTGTGACATTGCCTTAAAGGGAAAATAATTAACATACAGATGAATTCTATGTCACATTACGCACACAAAAAATGCATAAATGTACAGCTCTTTTTGCTTGTGATCTTTGCAACGAAAAATACTTTCTGCTTTGTCGTTTCTATTCTATCTGAGTTATCATTTCTATTCTAGGACTCATTTAAAGCAACTCTTAAATGGGGAAACTTGTTTGTACCCTGGAAAAACACATTGTTGCCATCCATAAATTAAACTTCTGGGTTATTACTTAACAATTTTCACTTACTACAACAAACTAATAGGAAAAGTTATTTTCTCAAACAGGCAGTGGATCTGGACCAGTAAACAGCAGGCTCATTTTTGCCATGGAAATCATTTAACAACCAGGAGATGCCCCCTGCAGGCCACTAGAAATTATGCAGTTTTAAGACACTTGAGCATTCCCCTCAGAACCTGGGG